GCCTTTCCATGAAATTACATTTCTTGGGATGCCTGCCTTTCGGTTTATACGGAACTGATATGTACCACTCGCATAATATTTAAGAGCACTTCGCTTCTGTCGTGCCCTCTTAATTTGCCCTTTTCTCTTTCCTTTTGAAAAGGACCCTGTCGTCGCCCAAAGGAAGGCTCAGGAGTGCTTAGAGATCCTCAAATCTGCTGTGGATGACAGAGATCTGGAAAACCGTTTAGTTCGCTGTATCGGGTATGAGCAGTTCAATTTTCTTCGGATTCTCCGTCGTCAGCCTACCATGATTCTATATTGCACTCTGCTCGCCCAAGCACAGACTCCACAAGAACGCGTTGAGATTGAAACTAAAATGCAAGCTGACCCAAAACTGGCTAAAATACTGCAACAACTACGTGAAACTGTAGATTCCTCTGATGTGGTATCAGATGAGCGACAACGCAAGATTGCCCAACGCATGGCTCGTGTAAAGGTATGTCGCTTTATATTATCCCTGTCTATGCTTCATTTACGCTCGATGGAGAAGTTGACAGCAATTTGTCGTTTTATCATGCTCGGCTTCCACGCCTGACGTCAATGTAACATTGATGCCTCAGTATTTGCTGTCTCGGTCATCGAGTAACTCCGTTTACAAGTCTTCCAGAAATCGATGTGATCACCATTAGGAGCAGCTCTAATCGTAACGTAGTCAGTCTTAAACATCTGTGTAGCCGACTGTTTACCTGTATCTTTGACTGCGTCAATGTATTCTATGCCTAAAACAGTCTATGTATAAAAACACTGCTTGAATTCATAGAGGTAAATAGTTATAGGGTACCAATCCTTCTCCAGGCAGTTGGGTCTATCAACCTGTGGTCAGTGGTAGCTTGGGGTTAATAGTCTTGATTGCAGAACTTGCATTCAGTTCTCTGAACTCCCGAGAATGCTACTTCTAGCTCCTCGAGTGGGATTCAAACCTTCGGCCTCTCGATCTGTGCTCCTACCTCCTCGGCGAGCCTTGCACAAGATGTAGGATGCCAATTCTCTTTTCCCCCCGTTTTGGTTCTGCTGGTAACGGCGTATAAAGTCTTGCCTATTTCCAGCGCTAGTAATCCCTTACCATATGTGTGTTTACTTCGCTTAGGAGTCCACAAAGGGTGGTGCTGACGACGAAGCTCTAGATTCCGACCGGCTTTTCACCGAGGACGGAAATGTGAGCTTAGCCAACGTGCTCGATCTGTCTGACCTTGTTTTCAGTCAGGGCGGGCACCTCATGGCTAACAAGCGTTGCCAACTTCCGGACGGCTCTTTCCGCAAACAGAAGAAGGGTTACGAGGAGGTTCATGTGCCAGCGCTGCGCCCCAAACCCTTTGACCAAGATGAAAGTCTGCTCAAGATCGAGAAGCTTCCTGCCTACGCCCAGGCTGCGTTTGATGGCTACAAGACACTTAATCGTATTCAGACGCGCCTGTACAATGCGGCTATGAAAACTGATGAGAATCTTCTGCTTTGCGCACCCACGGTTTGTTGTTCAGTCTTTTTGTTACTGGTTTATGTTTTTTTAAAATTTTCTACTCATCCCGATTCCAATATGTGTACACTTGCGTTCATTGTTGCATACCATACTAACTCTTACGCCGATAATACGGTCCTTTAAGGTGAGCTCGCACTGCTCTCGGAGCGTCGCCGCTTCGTGTTTCCATCTTTCTGCCAGATATGTTCCATCGCCCGGGACCAGAGCCCCATACAATGCAGTCTGGTAGACATGAAATCAGAGGCACACATGTATTTGCTGTCTAGCCTTGTCAGCCACTATGCACACGCCTACCTCTAGTCGTCTTCGTCTTGACACA